GTAGCTTAGTGCCTAAGGTACGTGACTGCTAACCAGAAGGCTGGCGGTTCAAACCCACCAGCCACTCCTCGGAAGGAAGATGGGGCAATCTACTTCCGTAGTGATACTGCCTTGAAACCCAACAGGGGGTCGCTATGAGTCGGGGCCGACTCGATGGCAAATAACAACAACAACAACAATGTATTGCATTCAGACTAGTATAGTATTAGGAGAAAAGGTAAATGTCGAAAATAATAGCCAATGAAATTGCACCATTGCTGGAAAAATAGACCAATCAGAACATAGCGCGCGATATTTGAACATTTTTCTCATCCAATCACTACTGTTCAGGCGCTATAAATAGTAGTAACTACGTTGGGGAACTTATTTGCAAAAGTCTTTATCACCTGACTTTTGCAGTCCGTTTTTACCTAATTTGTTATGGCTCGCACTAAGCAAACTGCTCGTAAGTCTACCGGTGGCAAAGCGCCGCGCAAGCAGCTGGCCACTAAGGCTGCCCGCAAGAGCGCGCCAGCCACGGGCGGTGTGAAGAAGCCACATCGCTACCGGCCTGGCACTGTAGCGCTGCGCGAGATCCGGCGCTACCAGAAGTCCACCGAGCTGCTGATCCGCAAGCTGCCGTTCCAGCGGCTGGTGCGGGAGATCGCCCAGGACTTTAAGACAGATTTACGCTTCCAGAGTTCAGCTGTGATGGCGCTGCAGGAGGCATGCGAGGCCTACCTGGTAGGACTCTTTGAGGACACCAATTTGTGCGCCATCCACGCCAAGCGCGTCACTATCATGCCCAAGGACATTCAGCTGGCCCGCCGCATCCGCGGGGAGCGAGCGTAATTAAATAGCACCTTTTCTTTGGTACATCAAAGGCTCTTTTAAGAGCCACCCACATTTTCAAGTAAAATGGCTGTAGAAAACACCAATCTGGTCAGACAACCGCTTTGGAATAAGGCATGGGCAAGATTTGCTGCGTTGTAACTCTTAAAATGCAAGCCCTGTGGAGGCAAGTAAACTGGCCTTTTGAAAATAGTGTAGTGTTGATGCTGTAGAGGATTTCGGAAGAGTGAAAAGTGCATTTCAAAGACATTAACTATCCCTTGAGCATTAATTATAAAAGACTTAACAGAGGTATCAAGAGGGTATCAAAATATTCATGGTTGAAAAGCAGTAAAACAAATAACAAACGTAACTGTTCAATTACGTTCCTCTTTGATACTTTTGCGGTTTTCAAATTTCTTATGATTCAGTCTTTGCCTTTTAAAGAGTTTTCTTATGAAGACACTTTTTTTTTTTAATGTCATATGTATACATATAAAATCCGAAATTACTCCAAGCAGAACAATATTGCCTGCTTAAGGAATCAAGCAAACCTGACTCCGCCCCACTCTCGCGAGGTCCGGACACTTAAACAAAGGCTTAAGGGAGGGGCCTTTTTGCGTCACGTTTCCCGCCAGCGAGCTTTCCGTTCTTTGAGAGGTGACTGGGGGAGGAGGGCGTAGTTATATAAGAAGCAGTTCGGTCTTTATTTCTCACTTGCTGTTGGCTTGCTTGAGAGGTCATGTCTGGACGCGGCAAAGGCGGGAAGGGGCTTGGTAAAGGTGGTGCTAAGCGCCACCGTAAAGTCCTGCGTGACAACATCCAGGGTATTACCAAGCCGGCTATCCGGCGCTTGGCTCGGCGTGGCGGTGTCAAGCGCATTTCCGGACTCATCTATGAGGAGACCCGTGGGGTGCTCAAGGTTTTTCTGGAGAACGTGATCCGCGACGCAGTCACCTACACGGAGCACGCCAAGCGCAAGACGGTCACTGCAATGGATGTGGTCTATGCGCTCAAGCGCCAGGGACGCACTCTCTACGGCTTCGGCGGCTAAGGTTATCATCTTTCCCTTTTGAGCTTATTCCTCAAAGGCCCTTTTCAGGGCCACCCACTTAATCAAAAAAAGAGCTGTCATAATGAGGCATAATACGATGACTTCTGCAGTAAAATACGGTACTTAGATCAATAACATGATATTCTTAATTCAATGAGGAGTGAAACTATTTGCTTTTTCCTTTTTTGTTATAACTGAAGGCAAAATACCCTCTGGTCCATGTAACTGTCGGTCAGTAGTGTACATAACCCCCATCTAGCAGCCCTCGTCCCACCTCACTGGATAAAGTGAAGCAGTAATCATTGCAACTCATTAAAAATGAGTGGAAAAGAACCAAGTATTTTCAGGAGCTTGCATAGAACAAAGAGAAGCACTTTGCCCAATCAGCGAGCCCCACCCGTGGCTGTTACCCAATCAAAACTGATGAGCTAATGTGGTTCCCTCCCGGAGCCAGCTAGGGGGATGGGAAAGATTGGCGAAAAATTTTTTAAATTTATCTTTATTTTTGCGGATTAGGAAATAGACTGAAAGACATCTGTCTGGCCCACGATGATGTCCAGAGAACGGCACTACAATTGTCACTATCAATACGATGATTTGTCTCCAGATTTCTTTTTTATTTTAATCTCCTAAATGATATGCAGGGAGGAAACCAGATTCAGACTCTGCCATAATATGCAGGCATTGGATTCAGGGGAAATTAGAATCTGGTTTAGGAAAAGGCATTTCCTTCTCTTTCAATAGCAACATAGCTCTCCGCAGTTAAAAGGCTAAAGGACCCTGCGTCCCTTTGTCTCAGCTCAATCTCCACAGGCCATGGCAGCTGACTTCCTTTATCCCACTCTCTGAGGCCCAGTTATCCAGTTGGATGCTTTGCGGTTCTCTTGACCTCTGCAGTTTCAAACAACATTGAGCACTCTTTCCTTTGACTCTTCCGTATTTTATCATGCTTATGCCTCTGATTTTTCTTTGTGATCTCTTTTCCCATCCCTGTTTTCGGTGTTGGGTTTCTGGCCTACTTCCTTTGTTCACTATATACTTATCTCCCAGGAGATTTCACTCACATCCATGGGGTTTTTTTCCCCGACACTTCTGGCCAGTGTCGTCATGATCTGTATGCCCCACAGGGCATCCAAAGCAAAACTCATCATCTCCCTCAACTACTCACCACTTGAATTGACCTCAGTCCAAAATATGAAAGCCATCCTCTAATCCATGTTCACCCCATAGGTCCAATCATCTCAATTCCCATATACTCCACCTTTGAAATCCCTTTGCATCTGCTCTATCCATTTCCACTGCTACTACCACTGTTCACTTGCACAGTGAACTTCACCAAAACAAAAAACAAACAAACCTTAAACTGTAGGTATAATAATTGGATTAACAAAGGAAAAGGCAAGCAGAGAGGACAACTGAATTGTTCAAGACCACACAACTGATAAATATGTTGAGAATAAGTCTTGATCACCAAAGAGAGTGTCTCCTTCTACACTCACACTTGAAGGGGATGCTGCATAATTTAAAATCAAGAAAGGAGTGCGTCAGGATTGGATCCATTCATCCTTTCACCATATTTATTCAATCTGTATGCTGAGCAAATAATCTGAGAAGCTGGACTATCTGAAGAAGAATGTGGTATCCAGATTAGAGGAAGACTCATTAACAACATTAACGACTCGTTAAAGAGGACACAACTTTGCTTGCTGAAAGTAAGGATGACTTGAAACACTGATGAAGTTTCAGGACTACAGTCTGCAGTATGGATTACATCTTAATATGAAGAAAACAAAAATCCTCACAACTGGACCTATAAGCAGCATCATGATAAATGGAGAAAAGATTAGGTTGTCAAAGACTTCATATTACTTGGTTATACAATCAACATCAATGGAAGCAGCAGTCAAGATATCAGACGATGTACAGCACTGGGCAAATCTGCTGCAAAAGACCTCTTTAAAGTGCTGAAGAGCAAAGATACCTCCTTGAAGACTAAGGTGCGCCTGACACAAGCCATGATATTTTCAATCGCATGTGAGAGTTGGACAATGAATAAGAAGACCGAAGAAGAACTGATGCTTTTGAGTTGTGCTGGTGAAGAATGCTGAAAGTACCAAGGAATACTAAAAGAACTAACAAATCTGTCCTGGAAGGAGTGCAGCCAGAATGCTCTGTGGGAACAAGAACAGCCAGACTTCATCTCACCTACTTTGGTCATGTTGTCAGGAGGAACCATTCCCTGGAGACAGATATCATGCTTGATAAAGTGGAGGATCAATAAAAAAGGGTGTGGTACTTAAGGTTGTTGTAAACTTGGTTGGGCTGGGTTGAGTGGCTGGGCAGCTGGAGGTAGTTATTTCCCATGATGAGACTGGCAATCAACTCCATGGTGAAATCTGCCACGAGCAGCTGAGTAGCTGCTTTAGGGATGTGAGCTGCTTCCTGTATATAACGAGAAGCTTTGGGCTTGGTCTCTAGCCTTTTGCCATGCTTGAACCTTGCACATGGTTCTGCTTTGTCCTACAAGGTCACTTTAAGTCAGAAACTGCTCCATGGCAAGGGGTCTGGTGTTTTGGTTTGGTCCTGGTTTAAATATTCTAAGTATCCTTTTCATTACAAATAAAGCTTGCTTTTATTGATAAGAACTCCCCTTTCACTCTCACAGGGTTCCAGTTTGGAGAATAAATGGCATGGCCTCCCTATGGTTGAATTGCAAGGTCAGTATGGAACCAGGTCTCCCTGATGCTAATTCACTCTATACCACCACCTGCCATTCCTCCCAGGAGCTACTGGAAGATCTCTTCATCACCAGTCTACCACCCTCCAATTCATTGTCCACATTATTTCCAGAATGATTCTTCTGCCATGTTCAGACCACTGCCATGCTTAAAATCCTTCAGTAAATTCCCATTCTTTTTGTGCTAAAATTCTAAATTTCATTAAGATGACATTCACAATGATCACATTCTTTCTTTCTCCCAAATCCCACCCCATTCTTTGCTTCCCAAAACTCAGACATGACTTTGAAGAAATTCATTCTTACTCCCAAACATTTCATTGTTTCTAAGATCTCAAAGCATCTACGTAGGCTATTCTTTCTGCCATAATTGCCCTCCTGAACTTGCCCTCATTTTAAAAATTTTAATTCAAGGATTATTGTTCTAAGATAATTCTTCCTAACTTGCTAAAATTACTGGAACTCTTAGCCTAGACACTCTTTGCATCTTTTTTATTTTTTCCCCTTTGAATGTTAATTAAAACAAAACAAAACAAAAATTCCATTAAATCAATTTGGACTCATGTCAACCCCATAGTATTACAGGGTAGAACTGAGCCCCATAGTGTTTTCTTGGCTATAATCTTCACCAAAGCAGATGGCCAGGCCTTTCTTTCACGGTGCCACTGGGTTAGTTCCAACTGCCAAGCTTTAGGTTAGTAGTCAAGTATAAACTATTTGCATCCATCTTGATTAAACCTCTATAATTTCTTCTAGCTTTTATCAACTTCATAATAATTATTGGCTTTGGTCATTTATATTCTCTACTAGACCTAGTCCCTTGCAATTTCAGAATAGCTCTGGATTCTTTCTGGTTACCTAAACCTGGTCGAGCACATAGTAGGTGCTTTTGAAGCCTTATTAAATTGATTATTATATTATCTCATTAAATTTGCCATCAGCCTTGTGAAGAGGACTATTTTATCCCTACAGATGACTCAGCAGAATTTGAATTCAGATATACCCGAATCTGAAGCCAATGTTTAAGGCTCTACATTAGGCATAGAAGATGAGGAGGGAACAGTTGATTGAGAAAAAATAGAAATTAGGGTGATGAAAATGTTCTAAAATGAGATTGTAGTGATAGTTGTACAACTAGGTAAATACACTAAAATTCATTGAATTATACACTTAAAATGGGCATGTAAACTATATATCAAAAAAAGCTAGATTTTGTTTGGTTGGTTTATTGTTTTGTTTAGTTGTTTTTTAAAAAAAGACAACTCCAGGCAGGGTGGCAGGAAATGAGGCTGGCAAGGAGTGTACAATTGCTCTGTGAAGGGTTTGCACCATTGCTCTGTGTAGGATGTATAGACTTTGTCCAATCAGTCATTGCAGCTAAAACAGGTTTTTAAGTAAGGACGTCTCCTGACCCAGTTATGTGTTAAAACAGTTGACTGGGCTGCAGAAACTCAGACCTGGAGGAAATAAATGAATTCACTTGAGGTTGGCTAATAGGAAAATATCTTATTCTTATCTGAAGAAATAGTCATAAATACTTCTGTCATTGACTTCTTTCCTTCCTCATCCTTTTTAGAGGGACGATTTAATCCTCAGCCTGTTAGCTTCATCTAGTTTCTTGTCTAGATATTTGGATCCTATTTTCCACCTGACAATTGTCTTCCTTCAGATAGGGAGATTATCCTGGATTATTCATATGGGCCCAACTTAATCACAAGGGTCCTTAAAAGTGGAAGAGGAAGGTAAAAGAGGAGGTCAAAGTAGATTAGATGTGAAAAGAACCAGACCAGCCATAGCTGGCTTTGAAGATGAAAGAAGGCAACCATAAGCTAAGGAATATAGGTGGCTTGCAGAAGCTAGAAAAGGCAAGGAAATAGATTCTACCCTAAGGGCCTTCAAGAAAGAAAACAGCTCAGCCAACTCCTTATTTTAGCCCAGAGAGACCTGTGTTAGACTTCTGATTTACAGAACTATAACACAACGCAATGCACTGCCGTCAAGTTGGATCTGACTCATAGCGACCTCTCCTTGGGTTTCAGAGGCAGTATCTCTACGGAAGTAAATTGCCCAACCGCCCTTCTGAGGAGTGGCTGGTGGGTTTGAACCACCAGCCTTCTGGTTAGCAGTTAAATGCCTTAGGCACTATGCCACCAGAGCGCCTACAGAACTGTAATATATTTGTGTTGTTTACCACTAAGTTTGTAGTAATTAGCTATAGTAGCAAATGAAAAACTAATATATCAATCTCAGAACTCTGGACTTCATCTAGTCCCAAGCAGAAACTAACTTCCTTGACCTCTCCTCAAAATTACTTAAGACAAGTGGAAATATAAATCCTTTCTAACAAGCTCTGAGACATCCCACAATTGCTATGCAACTACTCAGTAAACCCAGCTGGTCAACTACATTGTCACTCATAGTCTTTGCTTGAAGGGAATTGACAAAACCCAATAAACACTGCATGGGTGTGGGGAAAGTAGGCAGGGGTGAAGTAGTAGAAGGGCAGGAAAAGACAGACATTTCCTTACTGTTTCCTGTGTACAAGGTGCTATATAAGGCACTTACACACACACCAGATCTTATTACATATTATAATGTTACTCCCATATATGTTGGTGACTCCCATATGTACATTTCTAATCCCAAACTTCTCCTAAACACAAGACTTATATATTGAACTCTCTACTAAACATCTCCCCATTTAGATGTTGTCTTTTTTTTTTTTTTTTAAAGATGTTGTCTTAAGCTAGGTTCTCTAGAGAAGCAAAACCAGTGAAGTTTATATATGTATATATGCCACTCTTACTGCCCTCAAGTTGATCCGACTTATAGCAACCCCTCCTTAGGTTTCTGAGGTGGTATCACTACGGAAGTAGATTGCCCAATCTTCCTTCCAAGGAGTGGCTGATGGGTTTGAACCACCAGCCTTCTGGTTAGCAGTCAAGTGCCTTAGGCACTACTCCACCAGAGCTCCCCATGATGTTGTAGAGGCTGGCATATCCCAAATCCATGGTCAGACATCAGACATCAGGCTGGAAGTTTCTCCTGACTCACACATCTAGCTACAACCCAAGATCAACAGGTCAGAGGGTGAGCTGCTGGGTCATGGGCTGTGGAGGCTGATGAATCCAAGATCAGCAGGTAAAATGGCAGGCTGCTGGCTCACAAGCTTTGAAAGCTAACAGATCCCAAGATCTGTAGGCAATATGGCAGTCCACTAACTCAAGTCCAACAAACCAGAGGTCAAATAATGATGACCTAGATGTAGGATCCAGATCAGGCAAAAAGCAGAGAGCACTGCCAGAATGTCCATACATATTGGAAGCAGGTTACATCCCTGAGGACACTCCCTTTCAATTGATTCACTACTCACAGCAGATCTCATCATGAAAGTGATTAAATATTATCAGGCTCATGATGGAGATTGACAGTTTGAACTCATTCAGCAGCACCTCTGGAGAGAGGCCGGAGATCTGCTTCCATAAAGACAACAGCCAAAAAAACCCTATGGAGTAATTCTACTCTCTAATACACGAGTCAATTCCATGACAACAGGTTGTTTGTTTGTTTAACCTACCATGTGCCAGGCCTCACCCATGTACTGGGCATTCAGCAGGAAAAAGGTGGGCTCCACACTTTCTCTGGCATTCCAAGAGAGAGACAGACAGACCATAAACAAATAAGAAAAACTCAGTTTTCAAGTCAATTCCGACTCATAACAACCCTACAGGACAGACAAGACCTGAGGATCATGGTAAAGATGGAGCTTCTACCCTGAGAGCGATGGGGCCACTGGATGGTTTAGAGTTAAGGAGTGGCATGTACTGACTTCTGTTTTAGCAGGATCACTGACTTCTGTGCTGAGAATCCACTGATGGGGGAGGATTGAAGCAGGGAAACTAGGCAGGTTGCTATTGTAATAATCCAGGTGATAAGCAATGGTGATTTGGACTAGCAGTGGAGGTGGTCAGATATGGTCACATTTGGAAGATAGAGTTGACAGAATTGCCAAGGATGCTTTGACGAGTTTTGGCTTGCATAACTAGAAGGCCAAAAAATGCCATTTACTGAGATGGGGGATTTGGCGAGCTGCATTTTTTTGTGGGGAGAAGAAATATCAGAAGTTTGCCTTTAGACATTTCAAGTTTGGAAAATCCATTAGACTATCGAGAGGTGTTAAATAAGCAATTAAATAAATAAGATTCCTGAAGTCAGGTGAGAGATCTGAGCTAGAGATAAAAACTTGGGAGTCACCATTAAAGTGGTGAAACAAGAACTAAACAAACAAACAAACAAAAACTCACTGCTGTTGAGTTGACTCCAACTCGGAGCAATCCCTCCTTGGGTTTCCAAGGCAGTATCTCTACGGAGGTAGATTACCCAGTCTCCCACAAGCCTTCTGGTAAGCAGTCAAATGCCTTAGGCACTATGCCACCAGAGCTCCTAAGATGTGGTATTTCAGAGAGAGTACATACAGAAGTTCCCATTCTTCAGCAGGACTGTGTAGTATCCCACTTTATGGAGATTATATATCTCCAATCAGTTGCCATCCAGTTGATTCTAATTCATGGCAATCCCATGTGTATCAGACTAGAACTGTGTTCCACAGGGTTGTCAGTGGGTGATTTTTCAGATTGCCAGGCTTTTGTTCTGAAGCACCTGAGTGAACTTGAAATGCCAACCTTTTAGTTAGCAGCCAAGCATGTTAACTATTTGCACACCCAGGAAATATATGTGTATGTGTGTGTATGTATATATATGGTGTAGTGCCTAAGGCATTTGACTGCTAACCAGAAGGCTGGCGGTTCAAACCCACTAGCCACTCCTTGGAAGGAAGACTGGGCAATCTACTTCCATAGAAATACCATACCACCTCAGAAACCCAAGGAGGGGTTGTTATGAGTCAGATCCAACTCGATGGCAGTGTGTTTGGTTTGGTATATATCATATACAGCACATCACATATCATAACTTACCTAGTCCCTTCTGATGAACATTTACATTGTTTCCACTGACTTCCAAGTTTCTTCTCTAGTCCAGACCTCTCACCTGAACTCAAGGATTTCATTTATTCAACCTTCTACTCAACATCTCCTTCAGTGTCAGAGAGAGACCTGTTGAGGCGTCCCATGTCGATGTATTTCAGTAGAACTGTCCGTATTTAATAGTCCAATTTCCAGGCGGACCAGAGCAGATCTGATTCAACGCGGTGAAGTGCTTATGGCCTGTCCATTGAAGGACAGGAGTAAAGGACGCGAACACCTAGATGGCTCAGCGGTTTCGTCCGTCCTAAACTAGTCTCTAGCCCACTCGAGCCCTTGCTCCCTGATTAGCTAAAGACAGATGTTGCACTCAGCACTACGCTACCCAATTGGCTGGGGGGAGGGCAGGCCACTGAACACCAAGCAACAGGAGGACGGCCGTTTAGACCGTATTCTTGAGTTAAGTCCTCCTGACAGTAGGGGGCGCAAAAGGTTAAATTGCTGCGCTGCTGCTTAAAGGTGTAGTTTTGAGCCCACCTAAAACCGCTCGGTAGGGGTTCTGGTGGCTTTGTAGTTAAGGCATTTGGGCTAACCAGTAATTGCAGCTCAAACACACCAGCCGCTCCAAGGAAGAGGAACTCAGCTTCCTTAAGTACTTAAGTCTTGAAACCCGATGGGGGTCGCTATTAAGTTGAAATCTACTCGATGGCAGCGGGCTCATGGGAAGTGCTTCGAAAGACCCGCGATCCACTTACGAGTAATCACGCATATACACAACACTAATGAGTTCAGTCGTGCATGGAGGAACTCACCGAGCTTGGTCAACATAAATACAGATTCAGGAGACAAATTTCTCTTTGCTGCAAAATACGTTAGAGCACAGCTCTTCCTGTAAGGCAGTGGGTGGCCCTGAAAAGGGCCTTTGGGGACTTAGAAACTTTTGAGAACAACCTTAACCTCCAAAGCCATATAGAGTTCGCCCCTGGCGCTTGAGCGCGTAGACGACGTCCATGGCTGTGACTGTCTTGCGCTTGGCGTGCTCGGTGTAGGTGACAGCGTCGCGAATGACGTTCTCTAGGAAGACTTTCAGAACCCCACGCGTCTCTTCATAAATGAGACCAGAAATGCGTTTGACACCGCCTCTACGAGCCAAACGCCGGATGGCGGGTTTTGTAATACCTTGGATATTGTCTCGCAGAACTTTACGGTGGCGCTTAGCACCTCCTTTACCTAAACCTTTCCCGCCTTTGCCACGGCCAGACATAGCGAACTAGCAACTTACAGCAGCTGAAAACAGACTATCAGACACTTGTGCCGTGAGTAATTATAAGCAGGCGTCGGACCTGATTGAAAACTGAAAGCCCAGGCGGGAAGCCAAAAGTTGTAATCTTTTAAATTCCCCCGCCCTCTCTAGTCGGTGAGTGACACTAAAGGCTCTGGGAGAGGGAATTTAGTAACTAACTTTTAGTCCTTCCATTTTTTGTTCCTGTTCACTGAGCTATTATTTATATCAGCCATATTTTAGGACGAGAATTTTAATAGGTGCCTTTTTTTTTTTTTTAATTATAAATCCTTGTCTCTTCATTCAGAGGACAATGAGTGTGTGATTTTGGATAAGTCGTTAAAGCGCTGCCTTTATTTTCTTCTTTAATGATAGTTACTATGGAATTTTTGAGATTTCAGTTCATTTAAGCACAACTTTAGAGCAGAGATTGGTGCAAAGAATGCCTGTTGTTGTTGTTGTTATGTGCCGTCGAGTCAAACCCGACTCATAGCGACCCCTCCTTGGGTTTCCGCGGCAGTATCACTACGGAAGTAGGATTGCCCAACCTTCCTTCCGAGGAGTGGCTGGTGGGTTTGAACCGTCAGCCGTCTGGTTAGCAGGCAAGTGTCTTAGCCACTATGCTACCAGAGCTCCCAAAGAATGCCTACGTAAATGTAATTTTTATTAATTAATTCCTGGGGTTGAAGGGATATTGCCTTGGGATCTCATTTTCAAGCTTTTACTCCCAATGCATCACCTAACAACATTATTACCAACAGCAAATATGTATATGTTAGTGAGAACTGTATGTTTAATCACAGCACTTAGTAAGTTACAAGATATTGGTGGATGCTATATTTTTTGTTTTTCATATGTGACATTAAAAATGACTGTCATAAAATTGTGCTATGTGCCCAAGGTGTCTTGGCAATCCAGGCCTTAAGCCTTTCCAGCCACCTGGCCCCAGTTTACAGTTTAAACTTCCACACCAATTCTCAGATGTGTTAATCAAGACAAACTGGACAAGACAAACTGGGAAAGCTACTACTAAAAATTTAAGATCATCTGAAACACACACCTCAAACTCTACTTACTTCCTTCTCCTATTCTCTGAGTTTTGTGTCCCCGCCTCCCTCCCCCGCACAAGTCTGGGTATAGTGAGACTAAACTGCCTAGATTCTTGGGTAAGAAAAATCCTTCATATATAACCATTAGATCTTGCAACAGCCAACGTTTAATAGATACCAAACCAAACTGTTAGCATCCAGTTGACTGACCCATGGCAACCCCATGTGTTAGAGTGGAACTGAACTCTATAGGGTTTTCTTTGCTGTAATCTTTCTTCTGAAATGCCTCTGGGTGGGTTCAAACCAACAGCCTGTGGATTAATTAACTGGAAACAATTTGCACCACCAGGGACATACTAATACATTAAACATACACTTTTGTCTCTGGCCCATTTAGTCATACCCATAATACAAAGTAATAGATATTTGACACAATAATATTTAAATGCTCTCACTGCTCTCCAGTTTCGAGTAAATTTTCTTTCACAGATGTTAATTTCTTCCATTCTTTGGGTGTAAGAAAAAATTGTATGCTTCCCAGGAAAATTAATAGCATAATGCTTTGCACCCCAAAGGAGCGCTGGTGGTGTAAGTGCCTAAGGCATTTGACTGCTCACCAGAAGGCTGGTGATTCAAACCCACCAGCCACTCCTCAGAAGGAAGGTTGGGCAATCTACTTCCATAGTGATACCGCCTCTGAAACATGAAGGGTCACTATGAGTCAGATTCAACTCGACGGCAGTGAGTTTGTGCACCCCAAAATCAGCTCATATGGTGTCAATAGCCCTATAAGGTAGGTACTATTATTGCCATTTTTCTGATGATAGAGACTGACTTGTCCAAGATAACTCAGTATAAGTAGGAAACCTGGGATTGAACATAGGGAACCTAAGCATCCAAGTGCTGCTCTGTTCTGCCAGCTTCAAGACCCTTCCCTAAACAATAACAACAAAACATTGCCATCAAGTTGATTGCTATTCATAGTAACCCTGTAAAACTGTTGAACTGCCTCATAAGGTTTCCAAGGTGGTAAGGCTTTCAAGATGCCATATCGTTCTCTGCTAAGCAGCCAGTGGGTTGGAATCACTGACCTCCCTCATGGTTAGCAGGTGAGTACTTAACCACTGCACCACTAGGAAAAAAAAAAAACTCACTGCCATTGAGTCGAATCTGACTCAGAGTGACCCTTCCTTGGGTTTCTGAGGCAGTTATCTCTACGGAAGTAGATTGCCTAACCTTCTTTCTGAGTGGCTGGTGGGTTTGAACCGCCAGTCTTCTGATTAGCAGTCACATGCCTTAGGCACGACGCCACTTAAGTTCCTAATAAATTCTAAGAGGGTGTGGTTTTTTTTTTCTCGACACTGGGCAGCTGTTGTTAAGGGGTACAAAGACTGAAACCAGAATTCATATTCTACAGAGCCCGGGACTGCCGATTTTAGCAACTGTCCCTTGTGCAACTGACCCTCAGGTAGTAATGGGCACTTTTACTGGTATGCTGTCCTACTACCTAACAGTTTGCCAAAGACACATAAAAGTTGAAGTCAAGTAGTATATGTGAATTCGAGCACACTATGGGAAAACAAACATGACTTGGCCTACTGTGGCTAAATATAGCAGAAAGTAATCTTAGTTTTTTAGGCCAACTGTACTAGTGCCTCACTAACACCTTCCATGGGTAATATATATATATATATATATATATATATATATATATATATATGCCAGAGTTAAGACTTTTTGTCCTAAATACAGCCTAGTGGGCACTCCCCAACTAACCAACTAATTTCTAATGGGCAAGTAAGACCTTAAGCATCCGAAACTGGTTACATTATGTGGGTTGACATTTGACAATACATAGTATTGTTACAGCAGCTTCCGCTTGAAAAGCTGGGTGGCTCTGAAAAGAGCCTTTGGGTTACTACGGGTATAATACCAAAGCCTGAATATTTACGCCCTTTCCCCGCGGATACGGCGAGCCAGCTGAATGTCCTTGGGCATAATGGTAACACGTTTGGCATGAATAGCGCACAGATTGGTGTCCTCGAAGAGACCCACCAGGTAGGCTTCGCAGGCCTCCTGCAGCGCCATCACAGCTGAACTCTGGAAGCGTAAGTCTGTCTTGAAGTCCTGCGCGATCTCGCGCACCAGTCGCTGAAACGGCAGCTTGCGGATCAGCAGCTCCGTGGACTTCTGGTAGCGCCGGATCTCGCGTAACGCCACGGTACCAGGCCTGTAGCGATGCGGCTTCTTCACGCCGCCGGTGGCCGGCGCGCTCTTACGGGCGGCCTTAGTGGCTAACTGCTTCCTCGGGGCCTTGCCGCCAGTGGACTTACGCGCTGTCTGCTTGGTACGAGCCATGACAACACTGTACAAAAACTACGATGCTGAAAGAAGTATCTGAGAGAAACACCGACCTACCCCTCTTTTATAGAAGCAGACAACCAACTAGTGGGCCCTAGAATATTCAAAGTCCCCGCGCCTTCCGCGGATTGGGCCATCACCACACACTGCCCGGATTAAGAGCTGCTTTCTGGTTGGTGAACGACTCCTATGCTCTGCCCTTCAGTGCAGCGACTCTGACGTCATTTTATTTACCCTTTCGTTTCCATCTCCACTGTGAACAAAATCTTGCACCCCAAGCTTCTAAAGCCTTAAAATAGGAAGCAACGTACTCATACAAAGAACATGAAAATTTAAAATAGGTACTGGCTTTGTAAGAAAAAGCAACCTCTCGAAGATATTTTGTAGGCAATTAGGGGAGTGTGCACATGGACTATATAACAATTTCCTTTGGTATGGTACCATTTTGGGCAATTGGGAGATAAACCTTTTCATTTTGGAAGATACGTGCTTCATATTTCTGTGTGTTAAGGTGTCTGATTACCGAATTGCTTCAGCAAATATATAATGCTTGCATATCGTAAACTGTTGTACAGTACAGTGGAGTATATACGTGTTCTTTAATCTTGATCAGAAAATGGAGATGAACATTTGAAAAACCTAAAGTCTCTTCTCTGGTTACGGATTACTTTTTTCTCCAAAACGTGAAATTGTTTTCTTTGAAAATTATTCATGCGTCACCACTGGCACGGAGATCATGCTTTGCCCCTTCCTTTTGCCTCTAAATCCACTTGCATAACGCATTACTCCCATTACCTTTTTATGTGAGGCTCTCACTCATTCAGTATTCTCGCAAATACTTCCACTGGGGAAAAGAAAAGACCTGGCGCTCCCCTGCAGGTAAAATGTTTTCATCTATTCAAGGCAAAAATCTTTTGGGTATAGAAAAAAAAAAAAAAAAAATACTCCTAAGCGCAACTGCTCTTTCAATAGAAACCGTAGGTGGCTCTGAAAAGAGCCTTTGTGTTTGTTGTTTTCTTGCTCGCGTAATGTGGAAATACCTGTATAGAAATACCTTACTTGCCCTTGGCTTTGTGGTGGCTCTCAGTCTTCTTGGGCAGCAACACAGCCTGGATGTTTGGCAGGACGCCGCCCTGAGCGATGGTCACGCGGCCCAGAAGCTTGTTGAGCTCCTCGTCATTGCGGATAGCTAGCTGCAGGTGGCGCGGGATAATGCGGGTCTTTTTGTTGTCGCGGGCGGCGTTGCCGGCCAACTCCAGAATCTCAGCGGTCAGGTACTCCAGCACCGCTGCGAGGTACACCGGAGCGCCGGCACCTACCCGCTCCGAGTAGTTCCCTTTGCGGAGTAGGCGGTGCACCCGGCCGACGGGGAACTGTAGGCCGGCTCTCGAAGATCGGGTCTTAGCTTTAGCGCGAGCTTTGCCTCCTTGTTTTCCGCGACCTGACATAATGACTTTATAGTAAAACGAGAAATCTAAAGAACAGACCTGAAACGATAGATTACGACTTAAAAGCAAGAGAAGTATTTATAGTGATTGGCGGTATGCTGCGAGTATTTCTCCCATTGGCTACTATCAACTACCCAATAGAAAACCAGAACCTGCACCTTTCATTTGCATATACCCTTTCCTTGTAGAGCAGGGTTTGTGTTTGACCCAATCACTAATCAGAGTTGATGAGCCTTTGCGTGAATGCTAATAATAACTGAAACAATTGTGCTCTCTTAAAATATCCTAGCCACTTAATCAGTAATGGAGGGATTGCCACATTGCTCTGAGTGTTGGCTACTGGTTGTTTTTCAGAATTCTCTCAATTTTGGAAAGCAATGGACTCAAAGAATTTCTAAACAATAGTTAAGAAGCACTTTTGCTCCAGGCCTTGTTTTAACTCTTTTAAACTTCACAACAAAGAAAAAGAGAGAGAATAGTTAAATGATTCTTTACTGTGGTCAAGTCTCCTTAAACTATCAACAAAAAAAAAGAAGGCAAAAACTACATGAGTCAGCCTAAGACTTAGGGCAGCAAGTCTATTTCATTCTCATATTTTACATATGATCACTTTGAAGGTATGTACAGTGATTATTAGCCCATTGTAGAGATTGCAAAACAGACCCAAAAGATTATTTACCCTGCCCAAGGGAACAGTGAGCTATGAGAGATCAAAGACTAACTCCTTGCTGTTAAGTCTTCCTCACCATTCCCCTATGCCAATCCCAACTCTCCTACCCCTTTCCTTTTCTTCCTTAGCTGCAACACACCAGACTTTGTTGTTATGTGTCCTCGAGTTGGACGACTCATTGCAATCCCTCCTTGGGTTTCCGAGGCGGTATGCTACGGAAGTAGATTGCCCGTCTTCTGAGAAGTGGCTGGTGGGTTTGAACGGCCACTTGTTCAAAAAACTCTCCATCATTCTCCGTAACCTACTGTACCGGTTACAGAGCTCACAACATTGAAGTACAACAGAAGGAGTCACAGGATTTTTTCAGGAAATGGAAGAACAACTTTTCTTTTTGTGCACAGATTGAGATTATTACATGTATTATGAAACAGTACATTAATGTGATATTGTTGTTGTTGTTGTTGTTATGTGCCATCGAGTCGGCCCCGACTCATAGCGACCCCTCCTTGGGTTTCCGAGGCAGTATCACTACGGAAGTAGATTGCCCCATCTTCCTTCCGAGGAGTGGCTGGTGGGTTTAAACCGCCAGCCTTCTGGTTAGCAGTCAAGTGCCTTAGACACTATGCTACCAGAGCTCCCTAATGTGATATTACAGAGTTGTTACCTGGTCTTAAGTTCTCACACCCAGGAACCTAAAATCAAGAGAGATTTCCAAGAGAAATAGAAGCAGATATGGTCCTGGAGAAAGTGGAGAATTATTTACGCTTTCATGCCTATGGATCTCCTTATTCCCAAACAAGACAGTAGGGGGAACAAGTGCCTAGATGTGAGAAAACCTGCAACTAAGCCCTATCTTATGCTTAAGGCATTTGACTACTAACTAGAAAGCTGATGGTTCAAACCCACTGGCCACTCCTCGGAAGGAAGGTTGGGCATTCCTACTTCCGTAGTGATACTGCCTCGGAAACCCAAGGAGGGGTCGCTATGAGTCGGGGCCGACTCGACGGCACATAACAACAACAAGCCCTATCTCAGGGAACTATGGTTTGATCCTGGGAACCTGGCAAGAAATGAAGATGCTCAGTTTCCGTTTTCTTTCCCCTTGTTGCAAATCTGATTCCGATGACTTTTTCTCTTAACAATATTCTACCCCCTTTAAAAAAAAAAAATCTTTCTCTTCACCGTCAGTGGCAGCAATCAATATCAATAACCACTAGCTCAGTGTCTTTGGAATGCTGTACATCTGAAATATACCTCAGATAGTATCCCAAAGAGTTTATACTCTCCAAGAAGAGAGAATTTATATACAGAGAGAATAAATAGCTCGTAGTGCCTGTTCTGGATCCAAAATGAAGAATTTAGGCAATAAATAAGAGCATCTGGAAAGAAAGAGCAATAATTACGAATCTAGAAAGAGTTCACATGGGAGATGTACATCCAGTATTGATTTACCATATAATAGCAAGGGCTTTGAACCTGTTCCATTCAAGATCTCCAAGTATGCACATGAGAATCACCAGGGGATCTGTAAGAATCACCTGGATCTTGTTAAAATATAGATACTGATTCAGTATATCTGGGGTCGAAATGAAAATTCTCAGCAGTGGGTCAAACCAGAATGAACCAGTGAGAGAATAACTGAGCACACACTGAGGGCAACATAATGTTCTAGATACAGTGTGTATAGCAGCGAACAAAGCAGATGACAACCTCTGCTCTATGCTGCTACTATTCTAGTAGCGGGAGGCATACAATAAGGTAAACATAGAATAAACATGTAAAATATATATTTTTGGTGCTATGGAGAAAAATTAAGCAAGGAAAAGTGACAGGGCAGGCAAGCAGGAGGAACAGGGAAACGTCACCAAGTGAAGTCATTTGAATTCAGACCTGAAGGACATGAAGCAACTAGCCAAGTACATAGGTAGACTAAATATTGCATGAAAGGCCAGAGGTATTCAAAGCCAGAGGAATGTTAGGTACCAAAAGCCAGAAGATAGAACTGTTCTAATTTCTTAAAGACACTGTAGGCCATGTTGATGGAACAGTAGAAACACATAGGGTTATATTAAAAAAAAAAAAAAAAAAAAAGCCAAGATTAAGGCTGCTTCAAAAACCCAGGCTAGAAGATGGAGAATCAAACCCAAACCAAACTCACTGCCATCAAATCAGATACGACTCATAGCAACCCCTCTTTGGATTTCCGAGGCAGTATCACTGCAGAAGTAGATTGCCCAACCTTTCTTCCGAGGAGTGGCCAGTGGGTTTGAACCATCAGCTTTCTAGTTAGTAGTCAAATGCCTTAAGCACTAGGCCACTAGAGTTCCCAGAAAGGGGAGGGGGTAGGGGAAGACAGATAATCACAGTATCAAGAATCTAAAGGGAGCTCTGGTAGCATAGTGCCTAAGGCATTTGACTGCTAACCAGAAGGTTGGTAGTTCAAACCCGACAGCACTCCGTGGAAGGAAGATTGGGCAATCTATTCCGTAGTGAGGTTGTTGTTGTTGCTATGTTCTGTCGAGCAGTCTCCACCTTGGAAACCCAAGGAGGAGTCACTATGAGTCAGGTCCGACTCGACTGCACATAACAACAACCACCGCCTCAGAAACGCAAGGAGGGTTTGCTATGAGCCAGGACCGATTAGACGACGGCAGTGATTTTTTTTTTTTTTTTTTCATATATAAATGGCAGGAAAGGTAGTTGTTCCCCAATTATAACTCCAAGTCCAGGAATTGTTGTTATGTGACTTTGAGTCAGACCCGACTCATAGCGACCCCCTCCTTGGGTTTCCGAGGGTCCCCAACCCTCAGGAATAGTGAAAGCAAAACAATTTGACCCCCACTGGTTTCTATAAGTTATGACAGAATAAATACCTAGTTTTGGCTCAAATAAATCATGGAAGTATAATTTAGTTTGAACACACACTTGAGGAAAGCCTTGCTAGTGCTGAGGTAGTTGTTAACAGTTGCTCAGAAGACAAACCAGGAGGCGCAAGGTATGGAGTCACTCGCTGGATATCCTGAGGTGGAAGTATATGGAAGGAGATGTACAATCTATACTTTGGCCCTGAAGTAGGGTGAATTCCCTGAAGTAAATAACCAGGTGAAAACTCAGTTGAACAAAGAAAGGACATTCTGATTTCTATGACTCTGTAATTCCAAGCATATACTTTCAGATCTCTAATCAGATGAGAGCTCTCCAAACTAACCACTGGCCACTTGTGGCTACTGAGAATTTGGAATGTGTTAAGTCTAGTATAAGTTTATTGAAATGTAAAATAGATTTAGTATGAAAAACAGTGTAAAATATCTCCTCAATAACAGTTCACATTGATTGCCTGTTGCAATAACACTTTGGTTATATGAGTTAAATAAAATATGTTATTGAGGTTTCTAGAAAATTTTAAATGACATATGTGGTTTGCAATACTTTTCCATTGGACATCACTGTCTTAGGATGTCTTATGTTTACCTCCCATTACAATATTTAAACAATTTTAAGTACAACCCCCTCTCCCACCCATGTCCATATTCATTTTTGTTAACCAATTTGTAACTAATATATTAGGCACTTATTATGCACTTGGCTTTTTAAGGGAGGAATCATGTTATAATGACACAATTGTACTAGTCAGTCAGGACAGCCTTGGTCACAGGTACTAGAATTTGAGTTCCTTGAGAAGAGGCAGGGATTTTTGCTTCTTTGGTTCATTACTATATTCCCAGGAGATAGAAAGGTACCTAATACAGAGGATCTGAACACATGTTTGTTGAGTAGATAAATAGCTTCATAAAAGATCACCCAAGGAAAGATTGGTTGAACAGTAAGGGGATTTATTTCCTTGCATAAAAACAAGTCCAGAGCCTAGGAAATCCAGAGTTTATTTGACTCTAAAGCAATGGCATCATGACCCAGGTAAGGCTTAGTGCATTGGCTACAATTTATGCTTGTCTCTTCATGGTCTGAACATGGCTATTTTGGTGCCAGGAGTTAATGTAAACAAAACAACATCTAGCTGAGGAAAGAAGGTGTTTCCTCCCATGTTTCTATGGTTATTAGTGAGAATCAGGAAGAGGCAAGTTTAAAACTGATATATAAGTAGAATAAGTAAGTAAAATTAATTGGAAAGAAGATACTGGAATTGGAGAGAAATTCAGACTGGGGGGGTGGGGATGCATGAACCAATGAGCTGACAATGGAATGAAAGGAGACAAAGAAGAGGAAGGAGGAAGAGTTATTTCAAAGTCAGAACCTTTGAGATTTGATGACAGATAAACTCCAGAGATTAAAGGAGAAATTCTGGTCAACAGTCTTCACAAAGATTTTAGACTATTAATCTCAACAGCGGTGGGAATAAGAACAGAAGAAATATGAAGAGCTATATAATGGTCTGTTGTTCTAGATGTGGAATTTGATCAGACAGAAAATGACACAAGTTATATCTCCGGCTCTTGACCAGAGATAGGCACTCCACCCTGAGAAAGAACTAAAAACCTGGGACCCAATTGTAGGAATTTATAAAATAGCTGAATGAAGTCTCCTGAGGTGCTGTAGTGGGGAAAGCATTTGGCTACTAACCAGAAGGTCAGAGGTTCAAACCCACAACCAGCTGCTCTGTGAAAGATGAGGCAATCTACTTCTGTAAAGATTTACAGCCTTGGAAACCCAATAGGGATCACTATGAGTTGGGATTGACTTGATGGCAGTACTTTTTCTTTTTTAAGCTACTGAGAAAGGGCAGGCTAAGAAATGAAAAAGAAAGAGAAGACTCAAGGCTGAGCTATGACACTATCATCCAAGCACCAGAAAAACAAAGCAAAGAAAAATTTAGAATCAAGAGCTGTCAGAGAGGAGAGAAGTAAATCCAGAATGGAGAGATGTAAAAAATGTCAACCAGAGAAACATTCACTACTGTAAAGTGGCAATGACCCCTCATTTATCTATATAGTTAATGTAAGCTCAATCAAAACCCCCAAACTATTCTTTTCTAGGTGGGCGGTAAGATACATGGAGAGACAGTAAGAAAGAATATGAGAAACATTACAAAGTCATTTATTCATTATTACAAAGATATTACAAAAGACAGCAATTGCATATAAATGGTTCTAGAATTCCCATGGGGTTCCAAAGGTGGTGTGTGTGTGTGTGTGTGTGTGTGTATGGAGATGGAGAGGTCAGTTGTATAAGATGATCATGACATAGATAAACAGATAGAAATTTTTAGTGTGTTCAAGACTAAACTCTGTCACTCACCTGTACACTGCAAGAGTTAGAACTATATCCATCCACCCAGGGACAAGTGATCTTTGACAAACGATCTTTGAAAAAACCTACTAAATGGGAAAGAGATAATAACTTTGTCCTATAGGGTTACTAGGCATCTGGATGCTAACCAGAAAGTCAGTGGGTCAAACCCACCACCTGCTCTGTAAAAGAAAGATGAGGTAATCTACTTCAGTAAAGATTTACAGCCTTGGAAACCCAAAGGGGGATGCTATGAGTCAGAATTGACTTGATATCAATGGTTTTTTGTTTGTTTGTTTGTTTGTTTATAGGGTTGCTATGAGTTGGAATCAACTCAATGGCAATGGAGGCGCTCTGGTGGCATAGTGCCTAAGCCATTTGACTGCTAGCTGGAAGGCTGGCAGTTCAAACCCATCAACCACTGCTCGGAAGGAAGGTGGGCAATCTACTTCCATAGTGATACCACCTCGGAAACCCAAGGAGGGGTCGCTATGTGTCTGATTCGACTCCATGACAGTGTGTTGCACTGCATGTTATAGCAGTTATATTTTTTTAAGAATAGTAAGCAGTTAATATTTTTCCAAGAAGCTTAAAAAAAAACAAAAAACAACTCATGTAGACATATATATCATTTAGTGGAAATGAGAAGTGAGGAAAAATAAAATATTTCTAAAATATGCAGGGCTTTCCTTATGTTGTGTCACCTCTTTTTTCTCAAATAATAAACAGTCTGAACCTTCTGTCATCTGTCTCATTTGGGGCATTTCTTCTCTTTTCCTAATCCTCGGTTACCCTCCCTCCAAATCAAAGTTCTCCCAAATCCCCGCCATCTGGTTCCAGGCTCCCACAGCTTAGCCAAGGACATTTCCTCTTTCCCTTCTACAAATTCAGCTTTTCCTTTCCTCAGGTCCTCTTTATTGGATGGGATGGGATGGTAGGCAAAACTTCCTATGAGCAAAAGAATCGGACATGCAGTGTAGGTATATTTTCTCTTATTTCTGTTCTTTTTAATTTTTCTAACCCTGTGCTGGGGAAATGGTCTGCTCTATACTTGCCATTCAGGTTACCCAAGTAAAGGCCTTGAGCCCAGAACATTATCTGATAAGGAGGCTGGGGATTGGGTCACCTTCCCTCTCCGGTTCCTTCTCCTTATCAGAGAAGCCTTTCCCTTGTTCTGGGCACACAGAACAAGAGTTCTCTGTCTCTTGAGTGTGTTCAGGCACCATATGGCATCTGGCCAACTCTACCTTTATATCTGTCCCCCAAGTGGGGAAGAGGGGTCTTTCCCATTAAGGCACAACTGTGAACGCAGAATATATGTCCTGCACCAACCACATGCAGGATGAGCCTGCTGGACATGGGAAACTGGTCCAAAAACCAAATCATCAAGTATGTTCCGACTCAAAGCAAGTCCTCATTGGGAAACCTCCATAGGAGCTCTGGTAGCATACTGCCTAAGGCATTTGACTGCTAACCAGAAGGCTGGCAGTTCAAACCCACCAGCCACTCCTCAGAAGAAAGGTTGGGCAAGCTACTTCTGTTAGTGGTACTGCCTAGGAAACCAAGGGAGGGGTCGCTATGAGTTGGGTCCGACTGAACAGCACATAACAACAAATCGTTACAGAAGTAGATTGTCCTATCTTCCTTCTGCCATCAAGTCGGATCCAACTCATAGCGACCCCTCCCTGGGTTTCCGAGGCAATATCACTAGAACTAGTAGGTTTCAGGGAGCTCTGGTAGCATAGTGGGTAAGACACTTGCCTGCTAACCAGAGGGCTGGCGGTTCAAACCCACCAGCCACTCCTCGGAAGGAAGGTTGGGCAATCCTACTTCCGTAGTGATACTGCCTTGGAAACCCAAGGAGGGTCGCTATGAGTCAGGTTTGACTTGATGGCACATAACAACAACAACAACAAGTAGGTTTCAACCTCCCACCTTCTGGTTAGTAGTCAAATGCCTTAGGCATTGCACCACCAGAGCTCCTTACCTCCAACCATAAACAAACAAACAAACAAAAACTAATTTCACAGCAAGACCCTAGTTTCCAAGGCGGTAAATCTTCACAGAGTAAATTGCCCAGTCTTCCAGGGTGTAGCTGGTGGGTTTGAACCACCAACCTTCTGGTTAGTAGTCAAATGCCTTAGGCACTGCGCCAACAGAGCCCCTTACCTCCAACCATAAGACCTGAGAAGTTAGTAACTATCTTGAAAATATGTATGCAATGAGTGTATCTGCTATACTACATAAAAGGATGAGATTTCCATCTGTTTTTGCAATCTCTTAAACGGATTGCCTGTGATGCATCACATTCTGGTTTAACACTTATTGAATAATAAAATTGTATTCGTTCTCTCTTAACTTTGTGGGGACATTTTCTGGGTTGGGAACAGATTGTGTTTTTAATATTTCCCCAACAGATATTAAGAAACAATAATACCCAGATTTCACCATTCCCAGGGTAAAAATCTAGATTAGGACAGTGATTCTTAAACTGTAAACTGAGGTCAGTACTTCTTGTGGGATAGGTGGCCATCGTTATAATGTAAAAAACAAGCATTATCTATTTTTAAGGCAAACGCTTCTTTGACATTTTGCATACAGTAAGGTAGGAAGTGCTTCTTATACTGAAGCTGATATTTTATCTGGGATCCTGGAGAATTTTTATTTTCATTTAAAAGATAAATTTTATTTTGTTCTCCAAAGGCGCTGCTGTAGGTCACCTACAGAAGAGGCTGGGAATGAAAATACTTTTCGTCCTGTTTTCCTTTGTCTACACCGCGCACCCACATGTGCCCATTGACTCCTCTTTCTCACCAAACGTTCTTCACCGTCTTTTTCTTGGAATTACACTACTTTCGGAGTCCCAAATTCTTCCAAAAATGACTGCAAAGAAAAACCGGGCAGTCCGCCTCTCCAACTGAGGTCCTCTGGGTTAGCCACAAGGTGGCGCCAGATGGTAAAGAGCGGGAAATTCAAACCCTCTGTGCCTCCAGAGCTCTAGCCATCAATCCCTACCCCATCATGGTGACTAGTCGCTAACGGTCAGCGACACGTAAAATGAGGTCCGAATTTCCTGTATGCATTAAAAATTTTAACGGCTTTAGAATGGTGGACGTCTAGTAGACATAACAGAGGCACTCAGGAAAACCACTGATTTCCCTAATGTGTTACCCCAATGCAGGCAGCCAGATTTGGCATCTGAAATTCCAGTTTTGTGGTCAAAACGACCCCACAGCCTCCTACCCAACGCCCCTGGGCAGGAACAGCCTGGCTACTCCTACCGTCAGAGGGTTCCTAGTCGTGAAAAACCCCTTAACAGCTCCACTATTCTGCTAGAAACTCTAATCGCCACTCGAAAAATGCTGGGACCTGGGAGTAGTGATCGTTTGCAAGTTAAAAGCTAACTTAGTTCTATCGGATAGATCCCTACTCATAAGGACTCACATTGGGTTTCCAAGGCTGTAAATCTTTAGGGAAGCTAAATGGCTCATCTTCCTTCCCCGGAGCGGCTGGTAGTTTTGAACCACCTCCCTTATATTAGCGGCAAAATGCATTAGTCACTACAAAAGCAGAAGTCGGATGATGACCAGGAGCAAACAATGAGAGCGTGGGTTTAGCACAGAAAAGCTAAGGTTTCACCTTTAGCAACTGCAGTTTTCCACGTCCCCAAAGCTAGCAATTATAGCTCTCTCCCGAGTTAAGTAGGTGGCTCTGAAAAGAGCCTTTGGGTTAGGAAAAGCCTACACAGGCATGTTTACTTAGAGCTGGTGTACTTGGTGACAGCCTTGGTGCCTTCGGACACGGCGTGCTTCGCCAGCTCCCCAGGCAGCAGCAGACGAACAGCCGTCTGGATCTCTCTGGAGGTGATGGTCGAACGCTTGTTGTAATGAGCCAGGCGAGACGCCTCACCAGCTATGCGCTCGAAGATGTCGTTGACAAAGGAGTTCATGATGCCCATGGCCTTGGACGAAATCCCCGTGTCTGGGTGGACCTGTTTCAGCACCTTGTAAACGTAGATAGAGTAGCTTTCCTTGCGGCTGCGCTTGCGCTTCTTGCCATCCTTTTTCTGGGCCTTAGTTATGGCCTTCTTGGAACCCTTCTTAGGAGCAGGAGCAGATTTCGAAGGCTCAGGCATGACTGTTAGAGAACAGTATACAAGTGCTTAAGATGCTCTCGTCTACCAAAATCGGGAAGAACACCGAACCCCTCCTATTTATAGTTCGGTAATTCAAATAAGGATATGAACTCTCACCTCTGATTGGATAGCCTCACATTATCAGAGAGGATTATGGAAATAAGAGATACACATTTTCTTTTTCTATTGGACAACACAACCAACTTATTTTAGCCAATCGGATAGCTTACAGGCGTAGCCCTACACTGTCTATAAAAACCTTTTGTTTTTTGCTTTCTTTCAGGATTAGGGCGTATTCTTTTCGCGAGTTGTTTTTGTTGCTAACAAGAAACATGTCCGGACGCGGTAAACAGGGCGGCAAGGCTCGCGCCAAGGCCAAAACCAGGTCTTCACGGGCTGGCCTGCAGTTCCCAGTGGGCCGAGTGCACCGCTTGCTCCGCAAGGGGAACTACGCCGAGCGCGTTGGCGCTGGCGCTCCAGTCTATTTGGCTGCGGTGCTGGAGTATCTGACCGCGGAGATCCTGGAGTTGGCGGGCAACGCGGCCCGTGACAACAAGAAGACGCGCATCATCCCGCGCCACCTGCAGCTGGCCATCCGCAACGACGAGGAGCTCAACAAGCTGCTGGGCAAAGTGACCATCGCTCAAGGCGGCGTGCTGCCCAATATACAGGCGGTGCTGCTCCCCAAGAAGACCGAGAGCCACCACAAGGCGAAGGGCAAGTGAAGACCCGAGATTAAAGCAGTAGAAGAAATAAACTCGTTTTCATTATCTAAAAGGCTCTTTTCAGAGCCATCCACATCTTCACAATAGGAGCTGGTAAATCACTTGTCTTAAGAGTATTTACATGTCTTCCCTTAACTATGTTAGGACGCCCACTTTGTATCTCCTGTCATACAAGCACTATTTTGAAGAGTTCCAGAAAAACAGGTCGTTCACAACTAAGCACATTCTAGAAGGAATGGAATGCAGGGGAGGCAAATAGAGTATTAGGATAGTCACTCCTGCTCGGAAAACAAACAGCAAGGTGATTCACCATTAACCGATAATAAAGCAAAGGCGGGCTTTCCAAACTGTCAATCTAGAGAAACCATTTTGTGCAACATAAACCACTGGACATCCGCCGCGGTCCTGTGTGTACCCGGCACCCCTGACTAAAATCTCTTAAATTGATTTGCCAGATACCAGGTACCTTGAAGTGTAATCAAGGGTTTCACGAACTCGGGGGATTATGGTAGGTAGCAGCAATGACGAAAGAGCTAAGAAGTGGCAGTCCAGGCAATTCGTGATTTAGTTGAGGAAAACACTGGGGAAGAAACTGTACTTAATGTACCACCAGCATTGACATAACCTAACAGCGTGTTAAGAATTCATAACCTCAGGTCTCACTCAGACTTACGGAACCAGAATTTACATTTTAAATGAGCATTAAGACCCCTAAATAGTTGTTCATGCACATAATACTAGTGTCCCGGTGAACTAGAATTTAGAAAATACACGAGACCAACACAAAGAACATAGAATGGTGTGGTGCAGTAGTTTATCCAATCAGAGACTCCAGTTATTAGCCAATCATCAGTCAGACATCAGCCAATGGTTTTATCGCGCGGGACTTTTGAAAATTCACAAAGCCAATCAGAATGCTTCCCACTGTATTTAAAGGCAGCTTTATCGTTACTTTGTGTCAAAGTTGGTTTGTGCTCAAACCTTCCATAATGGCTCGAACCAAGCAAACAGCCCGCAAATCCACCGGCGGTAAGGCGCCACGGAAGCAATTGGCCACTAAAGCCGCCCGCAAGAGCGCGCCCGCTACCGGTGGCGTGAAGAAGCCGCACCGTTATCGGCCAGGCACTGTGGCACTCCGCGAAATCCGCCGCTACCAGAAGTCCACTGAGCTACTGATCCGCAAGTTGCCGTTTCAGCGGCTAGTGCGTGAAATTGCTCAGGATTTCAAGACCGATCTGCGCTTCCAGAGCTCTGCGGTGATGGCGCTGCAGGAGGCGTGTGAGGCCTATCTGGTTGGGCTTTTTGAGGACACCAACCTGTGCGCCATCCATGCTAAGCGCGTAACTATTATGCCCAAGGACATCCAGTTGGCACGTCGCATCCGTGGAGAGAGGGCATAAATAAACTCGGCCTTTCCACTGGATTTTAAAAAGGCTCTTTTCAGAGCCACCCACAATTTCACTTAAAAGCAGTTGTACCCTAATTGTCCATTCCAATTTTATTTATTGCCTGCTTAGGTAGTGGTTTAGTACCTAAGTTAACCTGGCAGTTCACACCCACCAGCCACTTCTCTCAGAAGGAAGGTTGGGCAATCTACTTAACTAGTGAATACTGCTTCGGAAACCCAAGGAGGGGTCGCTATATAAGCCGGATCCAACTCGACAGCAGTGTGGTAGGTAATTAGGTATGATGTTTATCTAGGTCAAAGAAACAGTTTTATTTCTGACCATGCCTGTTTCTTATTTTTAATCTCAACAACATTGGAAACATTCCATAAAAACTTTCCAATAGTCTATCGAATGGTCTCTGTTCTCTGAGGTCTGAGACAGGTGAGGCTAACCTAAATCCTTACCACCAGAGATCCAATAAATTCAGTTATGTAACGAAGATATTAAGCATGGCTATTAAAATGTCCTATCATCCTGAAAATATGATTGAATACTACTAGGAACTGCAGAGCTTCTGTCTCTAAGTGGGTGCATCCTAGGGCTTCAGGTTTGTAAAATTTTGTGACCCGTTTAAAAAATAGAATACAGAATTAAAAACACAAAATTAGATTAATAGTGAATATTTCTTTAGAATGGCAAATCAGATCACAATTTTATAAAAAGAAAACCATTACCACAACAAATCAGAAAATAGCATCTTTTATTATGAATATACTTAACGCTTGCTTATTTTCCTATATTTTTGTCTGCGGACTGACTTCCATCTTCAAAATTATTTTGTAACACTATAGATAATGGGAAGATAATTGAATATTTCCTCTAACATGGTTGATCACAATTTCTTTTATGTCATTGATACTTTAGAAGTTTCTTTCACTTTTAAAACAGTCTTGGTAATGTCCAGTACCTTTAAGGTTGTGTTTTTTGGTGTTTTTTTTTTTTTTTTTTTTAATTTTAAGAAATACTTTATTAATCTTCTTATGTAAATAATTAAATTTGGAAGCTACTGGCTCTGTATCTTTCAAATGTCAATTATGTGTACTCTTCACTCACTCCCAGTGTGGGACCCTATTGATATGTGGATGTCTTTAAGACTCTAGCCCTGCCTCTTCTTGTGAGGATTCCTGGTGCATTGTCCCAGTAATTAGTAGTTTTCTTTGAAGCCATTCTTCACCAGCTGTATGTGAACATGCCTGCAAAATACATGCCTCATTAACTCCAAAGTAAATATATCTCCAACTAAATTTTCTCTTACCAAAATCTCAAACACACTTACCAACATAATCATACACAAAGTGAATTGTATGGAAGGGAAGTTTGAATGAAATAACGATCTTAAACAGCTGTAATCAAAATACTTTAACATTGAGAAACTGAAAAATAATAAAATAAATATGACCAAGAAAATTCACTCCTGGGGCCCCTCCTAGGAGCTCTTGTGGCCTAGCGCCTAAGGCATTTGACTGCTAACTAGAAGGTTGGCAGTTCAAACTCACCAGCCACTCCTCAGAAGAAAGGTTGGGCAATCTACTTCCATATAGCTATCGCCTCGGAAACCCAAGGAGGGGTCACTGTAAGTCAGATCCCACTCAACAGCAGTGAGTTTGGTTTGAGTTTAGGGCCCCTTTGAGGGTCTTGAAAGTACCATAGCGCCTGCTGCTTAAATTCCATTAACTTTAGGACAAATATACCTCTGAGTGCCAGCTGTTTTTCCTAGGAGTTCTGGTGGTGTAGTGCCTAAAGCATTTGACTGCTAACCAGAAGGCTGGGGGTTCAAACCTACTAGCCACTCCTAGAAAGAAAAATTGGGCAATCTACTTCCCAAGTTATACGGTCTCGGAAACCCACGGGGGGGTTGCTATGAGTCTGATCAGGCTCAATGGCAGTGAGGTGTTTGTTTGTTTTTTATGTTTTTCTTGAATTATATATGGCAGACTTTTCTCTGCCTCCTGCAAGTCTGTTCCAATGTACTTGGATGGGGGTACCCTAGGAATGGAGGATCTCCGGTCTGGAATTCCCCCAGGCCTCTCACAGAGATCATTGCTTGGCATGATTCTTTGGATCATGGTACCATTCTCAGAGACACCAGGAGGCTACAGCTTACTGAGGAGGATATAAAGTTAATTCTGAGAAATCCATAACCTGTCAGTGCTAAAAACCAAAAAAAAAAACAAAGCTACTGCTTTCTGGTTGATTCCGACTCATAGCAACTTCCACTGGGTTTCCAAACCAGTAAATCTTTATGAAAGAAGATTGCCCCATCTTCCTTCCACAGAAAAGATGGTAGGTTTGAACAGCCAAACTACCGGTTAGCAGTCAAATGCCTTGTTGTTGTTATGTGCCATTGAGTTGGACCCAACTCATAGCGACCCCTCCTTGGGTTTCCGAGGCAGTATCACTACAGAAGTAGATTGCCCCATCTTCCTTCCAAAGAGTGGCTGGTGGATTTGAACCGCCAGCCTTCTGGTTACCAGTCAAGTGCCTTAGGCAATATGCTACCAGCACTCCTGTCAAATGCTTTAGGCAAAGTGAATTGTTATTGTCTGGGACAATAAATTTGCAGGGTTTTATAAATTCATTCTGTCCTGAAAATGATTTTCCTTCCCTATGAAAGTAAGGACCATAAAAAGATGAATTCGTTAGAGGAGTCTACATGGTAGCTACAACACTGATAGTTTTCATTGGTCGAGTACCATCACTTGGCCTGAATTATTATGTATAATCCTTATTGTACACTAGATGGCACATTCTCTTACTGCCTCCATTTTACAGAGGGACTTCAGACTAAGAGATTTCAGTGAATTGGCCAAAGTCATTCAACTACAAAATATTATAACCAGAGTTTAATCTGAGGGAGTTTCACATCATACCCACACTCTTAGTATCTTCTAATCAATAAAATTGCTCAAAAGTAAATGATCAGATCTAGAGTTTCTACAATTACCTCATGGGTGATTGTTTTAGAAATGGGACTACATCCCATCCAACTGCCTCAGGATAGATCAGGAGGGGCTATTGTGACGTTGTTAGTCATCATCCAGTGATTCCAACTCATGGTGACTCCCTGTGTTAAGGAGTAGAAGGGCTGCACAGCGTTATCGTGGCTGTCGTTTTAAAAGCAGATCATCAGGACTTTTCTCTGTGATACCACTGAGTGGATTCAAGCTGTCAACCTTTAGATAATGTCGTTAGGTGCCATCAAGTTGGCTCCAACCCATATCAACCCTATCTATGTACAACAGAAGGGAACACTGCCCGGTCCTGTGCCACCCTGACAAGTGTTGCTATGCTTGAGCCCATCATTGCACCACTGTGTCAATCCATCTTGTTTGTAGGTCTTCCCCTTTTTCACTGACCATCCACTTACCAAGCATAATATCCTTCTTCAGGTACTGGTCCCTTCTGACAACATGACCAAAGCAACTGAGGTGAAGTGTTTAGATAACAGTGAAGGCAAACCATTTTGGTGGCCTAGCCTCGGCAGAGTCCTGTTGTGTGACCACAGGCCTGGTTTGAAAGGAAGTGCCAAAGTGGGCAGATGAGACACCTGGTCTTAGGGATACTCCCTGGGCTTCAGGACAAGGTCAGAATAATTGTTTCCCTAAAAACATCTGGATTCCACTCCAGAGGGAGTGTACTTGTTTATTTAGTATAAAGCTGGGCTGTATGACACACTAGACATGTGTGGCTATTAAGCACTTGAAATGTGGCTAGTTTAAATTAAGATGTGCTTTAAGTATAAAAAGATATCTTGAAGACTTAGTAATAAAAATAAAAAGTCTCAATATTTTTATATTGATAACATGTTAAAATTATATTATGACTAAAATGAATTATATTATTAAAGTTATATTATTATTAATTATCATTAATATATAATGATAATTAATATAATATAATTATAATTATATCATTAAAGTTTAACTTCTTTAGTTTTTTAAATGTAGCTATTAGAAAATTTTAAATTATATATGTGGCTCCCCTTGTATTTCTGAGGAACAGTGTTAGTTATATAGAGGGTAATTCTACTTGTTCAAGGATCAGAAACTTAATTTGCTACGTCCTTGAGCAAATTTCTTTCTTTCTTTCTTTCTTAATTTTTATTGTGATTTGGGTGAAAGTTTACAGAGCAAATTCTTTTTCTACACAGTGGTTTATACACCTTTTGTTTCATGACATAACTACAGTTTCCCACAAGGGAACTTTCTCCCTTTGCAAATACTGCCATTCTGTTCTCTCCCGATTGATCATTCTAAGGAGTGTATCTACATGATGTAAATATACACCTGCAAAAACGGCAGGGAGGCCACATGTTCTGACCTCCTCTAACCCTACAAGGGGAAGGCAGGATTATCAGCAGTAACCCAAGGCCTATTACTGCCAGGCCAGACATGTTGCCTCCCTCCAG